AAGCAATGGATTCCTTGGTTCTGCCACAAATTCCCCCAGCTGTAAGCCTTCCAACCTTCTAAATATTCCTTTATATGTGGTTCAGAGTTCTGGGACCATCTCCTGAGCCTGCTTGGTCGGGTATTCTGTGTTGTTGGCAGAGCTCTTTACTACACGTCCACCCAATCTGCCATCTTGTTTGTTCTCAGCCTGTTATTTTGTTTTAACAGCTGCCTCTTGGTCTATGTACAGGTTCCTCATGAGCACAATGAACTGTTCTGGAATTCTTATTCTCAATGTTATCATGATCATTGCAATATTATTGTTGTTAGGTGCCATCTAGTCAGTACCGACCCATAGCGACCTTATGCATAGCACAACAAAACACTGCCCGATCTTGGGCCAACCTCACTATCATTGCCACGCTCGAGTCCATCGATGCTGCTACTTGGCCAGTACATCTCGCTGGGTGAAAGATATCCTCCAGCAACTGGTGCCTCTTTACAATATGTCCGAAGTATGAGAGACGAAGTTTGGTCATCTTGGCTTCCAAGGAGCACTCTGGCTGCACTTCTTCCAAAATGGACCTATTGGTTCTTTTGGCAGCCCATGGCACTTTCAATACTTTCCTCCAACACCATAACTCAAAAGCATCAATTCTTCTATGGTCTTCCTTATTCATTGTCCAGCTTTCACATGCATATGAGGTGATTGAAAATACCATGGCTTGGGTCAGGTGCACCTTAGTCCTCAAGATGACATCTTTGCTCTGATTTATATAATCAGTATAAAGCCTTGGCACAATCAATAAAGCAGCCTTGATACAATCAATAAATAACAAGAAATCATCTTTTTTATATTCTCAGGTAGGATATGTTCAAGATCACATGTTGGCTCTCATAGACTGGTTTTAATTTTTTTCTGCTTCAGCCTGAACTTGAATATGAGCATTGAAGGTCATTTCCACCGTCTGCCCCTGACCTTTCTTTTTTGGCTGATGATATGGAGCTTTTTTTACCATCTCTTCCCACAGATGCAGTCAATTTGATTCATGTTTATTCCATCTGGTGAGTTCCATATGAATAGTTAGTTGCTTTTTATGTTGTTTTAAAAAGGTATTTGCAGAGAACAAACAAGATGGTGGATTGGGTGGAAGTGCAGTAAAGGAACTCCGTCATCAACAACACAGAATACCTGACCAAGCAGGCTCAGGGGATGGTCCCAGAACTCTGAACCACATATAAAGGAATATTTAGAAGGTTGGAAGGCTTACAGATGGGAGAATTTGTGGCAGAAGCAAGAAATCCATTGCTTTCTAATTCGAGATGCTCGGCTGCTCGAGGAGCTGCCATCTTGGGTGAGACCAAGTGGGGGAAGGATTGGAGCGGCCATAGAGATAAAGGTGTGGACATTCTTCTCTTTTGGTAGCTATTCATTGGTCCCTTGATGTCTGTGCACCTCCATTCTGGTGACTACAGGTGTGCCTGAGCTAGTGGGCACCCCAGCCCACCCTCGGAGGGTTCTACTACGCATGCACACAGATCTCTTTGAAATTTAAAGAGACAATTTCCAATTAAAACCAAACAGCCACAGTTGGCCCTGAACTGATTCCAACTAGAAAAAAAGGCCTTAACAGGGATTGTGGAGTGGGACAAGCAGACAAAAAAGGAAATAGGCTGAAAATTAAATCCTAAGTTACGTCAAAATGACCAACAGTGATATCTTGAAATTTCTCAGGAAGAATAGTGAAAAGGGAAGCCCATTTTCCTGATCACATCTATCTGGAGGCAAACAGAAAGCATAAAAAATACCAAAATACATACCCATCTGAGTATTAAGGCCACACATAACCCCTGAAGATGCCC